TGACTGGAACACTTTGGTTACGCACACATTCTGAAATTTGGTACGTTGTGGGGCCCTCCGTATTGGTTTTACTTAGTATTATTTATCATATCCTATTTTTAAATATGGATGCTATGSAAGCTCATTGTGTTACAGCTATAGTTCATTTGTCTTTGATGTAAACTTTGGAGCCTTTTTCTTCTTTTCTCCAAACAATTCCTGTGCGTTGTTTTTTTACGGAACCCCTGCATTGATCCACGTATTTGCCATTCTTCAGATTTCTGTTGCAGCACCTGTCAATTTCAAGTTAAGATAGTGGAAAGAAATGTCCATTATTTTTAGCAAAGAAATTCCTGTTTTACTTTTTTTACTTGTACTTTTCTTTTACATCTATACTCCCCCTTGGCCCAGGGGAAGGCACAGTACATGCTGGTGGGACTATGTCTCACGGCTGGCCTTGGAGTGCCTAGGGATTCCCCCAGATGAGCTGTGCCAGGTGGCTGGGGGGAGAGAAGTTTGGGTGTCTCTAGCCTCTTTCATAAGACAGATCAGCCCATGTTTAATGCGTGTTCTGTCCTCCTCCGGTCATTCATAAAAAACATGAACGCGGGCAGGCGAGTAAACTCAGTTTGCCTCTGAGCCACGCCCTGTCATAGTGTCAGGCGTGGGTCAGCTCTCTTTTGAATCAGCTGGCTCTGTGTGTGGGTCCAAACAGATTTGTATAATGAGAGGAATGACGTAGCGCGCAACCACGATCAGTTGTAATGTGTAATCAAGGCCGAACGTGACATTTACCTGTGCACAGCTGTTTTTTCATCACTGCATGGAATAGGTGGGTTGCACGTGACGTCACGATGCAGTTCCAGGAGAGTTCAAAGTTCGGTTGGAGGGCAGGAAGTGAAAAAGTGGAGGATCTGCCATCTGAACAAATGGCCATAATTTGTGTATTTCACAGGTGCTCCAATCATTCTAACTGAATTACTAATAAATAATTGTACACTGATTAAATTAGGCAATAAATTTTAAAAATGTGGCAATTTTTATTAATGTTCATTTTTGAATGGCCTCGCAGCAGCATGATGAAAAACGGGCTGATTCAGGGGAAAAACCCCACCTCAATACTCTCTCTGGTCTCATCCCCACCCTGCCGAACTAACATACACCCCACAAACTCTTTTCTGACTGAAGCCTGAAATTATTAGACAAACAGCAAAAAATCTACAGGAACATAAAGATAAAAAGAGGTGGAAGTTCAATTAAGTTCGGCAGCGATGGAGAAACAGCGAGATCGGGAGTATGCAATGAGATATCCTAAAATGTATTCACTATATATTATATTTATATAACTATATTTCATAGTTAGTGAAGTTTATTTAGTTATTTTTAGTGTTTTTATTACAAAAACATGAGGAGATATGTGTGGAGCAGCGGACGGACAGATGGTCCGAGCCGCAGTCAGGGGAGGGAAGCTCCGAGGTAGAGTTGGACTTTAGAAAACACTCTGAGACTGAGTGAGGAGTTTTTACAAGGAAGAAGATGATTCGCAATTCATTATTTGGATTATAAGAGGGAAGAGAAGACGATCGAGCACCGAGCAGACTGTGGGGGAGTTCTTTGGTTACTGAGGCAGATGGCGACATAGCTAACAACCCTAAACAGCTGACCAAAGAACATTAAAAAAAACTACAGGAGTTGTAGAAATTTTTTATTCAGCGGGTGGATCCACAACTTCAGTACCAAACAGCTCCATGATGATTATCATTTGGTTTTTGCCAGGGTGAGTGTTTGTTCTGATATTGTTTTTATAAGATCATGCTAACAGTAACCGCTGACGCTAATAAACATCCAGCACCTCGGTGTATCGGCAGCCTCGGAAAATCATTAGGTTTGGTTGAAAAAACTCTTTCATCTTTATCATACGAGTCATGTCTGATATATTTGTGAACAAATTGCTGTTATCTATCTTGAAATACAGTGGTTTGCAAAAGTATTCATACCCCTCGAACTTTTCCATATTTTGTCACATTACAACCACAAACATAAATATATTTCACTGGAATTTAATGTGAAAGACCAACACAAAGTGGTATACAATTGTGAAGTGGAAGCAAAATTTTACATGAATCAAAACATTTTTTACAAATTATAGGAGCCATTTGTAGCTCTGGGTGTTCTGGGTATAGTTTGGGTTCTTATTTTGCTTTTATAGTTCAGTTT